GACAGGTTCAAGAGCCATTCGCTCCGAATCGGCGGAGCGACGCCCCTGTACCACTGCTTCCAGGACACGGAGCTGGTCAAGCGTTGGGGGCGGTGGAACAGCGGAGCCGTTTACCAGTATTTGTGGGAGGCGAATGAGGACGCCGCTGGAGTGTCAGAGGCGATGGCGAAGTCTGTTGCAACCCTGCACGTGGGGCACAAGGTTGATCTGGCGGGAGATGGACTGGCTGCTGATGTGAAGGAGAAGACGGGAGCCTGAGGACAGTAGCAGGAGTGCGAGTGTTGAGCCAAGGCGTGTCACCACTGGAGGGGCCGTGCTGGATTGTGCCCAGTCCTGGGGCAGCGGCCTTGGTGACCCCCAGGATCGACGGACGGAGGTGAGGTGGAGGAGGGCCGCGAGCCCCAGTCGGCACCACCCGCAAGTCACGGGCGCCGAGGGGGTGTGCGGAGGTGAGGAGGCCGAGGGCCGGGGCGTCCCGCCAGTGCGGTCCCCAAGGAGAGGTGGAGGTGGCTGGGGCGTCCCGCCAGTGCGGTCCCCGAGGAGAAGTTGAGGAGGCTGGCTGGTGCTCCGCCAGCGCCGGCACGCGCTGTGCAGTGAGGCGCCCAGCTGTGAGCCCCATTCGGCACCACCCGCAAGTCACGGGCGCCGAGGGGGCGAGAGAAGCGGGGTGGCCGAGGAGCCGCCAGTCTGGCGGCACAGCTGGGCCTCTGCTGAGGCCTAGCCTGGGCGTGGGAAGGGCAGCACGCGCCTGCGGCTGCCAAAAGAGCGCGCGTGCTTGTCCGCTGCTAGTGTTTTTGTTTGAGCCCGAACAGTGCTTGTGCTCGTCGCGGGTCGGGCGCTCACTGTTTGGTTTCTACTAGGCACCTTCTCACTTAAACGTGGGAGTTTGAGCGTGCGTAAAACGTAGGGTTTCAGGGAGTAAGTGCCTGGTGAGGGGGAAGGGTCTCTCTTGCCTTCTGTCCCTTTCCCCCTTCTCCGCGGCCCCTCTGGGGCTCACGTTCCTTCTCGGGCCCTTCCCTCCCAGGCCCTCCCTGGCCCTTCGTAGGTCCTTTTCCTTTTTCGGCCTTGACCGCCTAGCGGTTCGGGCCGAGGAGCCGCCAGTCTGGCGGCGCAGCTGGGCCTCTGCTGAGGCCTAGCCTGAGCGTGGGAAGGACAGCGCGCGCCTGCGGCTGCCAAAAGAGCGCGCGTGCTTGTCCGCTGCTAGTGTTTTTGTTTGAGCCCGAACAGTGCTTGTGCTCGTCGCGGGTCGGGCGCTCACTGTTTGGTTTCTACTAGGCACCTTCTCACTTAAACTGTTTGGTTTCTACCAGGCACCTTCTCACTTAAACGGAGG